CCTTATATCAAAAGGAGAAGGAGAGTGAAGTTCTTGGCAAGTCAACTGACACAAACTTTCTATGAAATTTCATGCTGTTTGTGGAGGTTTGTCCCAGTTCATGCATACATTTCCAGAGTAACAAGTCAGGTGGAATTCTCCAGCCTTGGAAACAACATTGCAGTTTCAATCTAGTCATGTCAGTTTCAATAGGTTTCCCCCCCCCCGACCTTTGCCTGGATTCCTTTCTTGCACAGAGCTTGGAAAATCTTATCCCCTTTGCTTTGGTTTGTGACTCTGTGCTTTGAGATCAGTCCTTTTAAGCTTGAAATATCAGTGGCACTAGGTTCTGCTGAGCACTCTGTAATTACACTGGTACTGCTGGGCACTCTGTACTTTGTACTGGTTCTACTGGGGTTGCAAAAATGCCCTCTTGCTTGGATTGTGGTTGAGCTGGCATTGCCACATTGGCTCTGGGTTCTGTTGGATACTAGTATATTGCTCTAGTTCTGCTGTGCTTCCAGCCCCCCCTCCCCGACTTGGGTTGTGATTCTGTTCTTGACATCAGTCCGGTTGGCACTGGATTCTGCTGAGCATTCTGTGATTGCACTGGTACTGCTCGACACTCTGTACGTGGGGTGTGCATTAAGATCTACCCAAGCCTAAAATATACCTCCACCCCTCAAAAAAAAAAACACCTTTCAGTAATTTTTCTGGTATGTTTTAGCATCCCAAAAATATCTGGGATATATTTGGGATAAATTCAAAAAACAGAAAAGAGGCTGGAACTCCCAGCCAGCTCAGCTTTGGGCTGGCTTCTTGTGCAGCCTTGTTTAAGCGGGGCTGCACAAGAAGACAGCTCTAAGATCAGCTGAGCTGGCAGGAAGCAGAGCACTCCCTGCTGGGTCAGCTTTGGGCTGGCTTCTCATGCAGCCTCATTGAAATGTGGCTGCATAGTAAGCCAGTCCTAAGAGATCAGTTCTTAGAACAGTAATGTAGAATGTATTAGTGGTGTTGTATATATGTCAGTTAATTTTTTCCTGTCTTGCTGTAAGTGTGCCACGAAAAAGCCTATTTAATTATTGCCTAAAGAAAAACTGTATGATGCTTCTGTGCATGTTGGAAACAGAGGAAAAGACTGATGAATGGAATGGACTATGTAGAGTGTGAACAAAGGTGAGACTATAAATGTACTTTGGAAAGTGTTCAATAAATGAACAAAAGAGTGGAATGGGGGGGAGGTGAAATGTGAATGAGACATAGTGGAGCCGTGTCTCTGAAGCCCAAGTGAGGAGGAGGAGAAGGAGGAGGAGGAGGAGAGTTGATTTTATACTCCACCACTCACAACCTGAAGGAGTCTTAGAGTGGTTTACAATCATCTTCCCTTTCTCTCCCCACAACATGCACCTTGTGAGGTAGGTGGGGCTGAGAGAGCTCTGAGGGAACTGTGACTGGCCCAAGGTCATCCAGTTGGCTGCCTGTGAAAGGGTGGGGAATCAAACCCAGTTTTCCACATTAGAGCCTTCCATTCTTAACCACCACACCACATCTTGTTCTCTACAGCACAGCTGGCTCTTACAGTATTTCTTTACAGTATCTCCCTGATGCCCACCCTCCCATGTCCACCGCTCGTTACACATCTGGGATAGTATACAGGGACATAATGCATCACCTCTGCCATCTGGCAATAAAGGCAATGATCAATTGCTTGTGGGCCAGATAAGAGCCCTGGACAGGCTGTTTCCAGCCCATGGGGCATAAGTTTGACACCCCTGCTGTAATTGGTCTGCCACTCAAATAATTCATTCATCCTTCCCAAATCATTCTGCTACCCATGTTGACTCTCCTAGCATGACCATTAGGGATGGGCACAAACTGAACCACAAAGCAAGATCCATGGTGAATTTTGTCCTGTTTGTGGTTCCTGAACAGAAGTTTATGAACTGGCACAACCTTCCATGAACATTTAGACCAGGGGTCGGTACTGTTTGGAGTTTGTGCATTGGACAGAAAATCAAGGTTTAAAGGGACTCCAAATGCCTTAAACCCCTGCTTTCCATTCCCCCCAAAGCCTCAAAAACAGCTGAGTGCCTCCCTGCTGATCAGCTGTTTCACACTGTCTTCTGCAGCCCCTTTAAGGTCTTCTGCAGTTTTTTAAAACTTTAAATGGATTGCAGAAGACAGCTCGAAACAGCTGATTGGTGCTCAGCTGTTTTTCAGGGTTTCTGCAAACCCCATTTTAAAATATTGTGGTCCCTTTCAAGGTGGGTTGCAAGGCCATGGAAAAAAAAAACCTGGTTCAATTCATGATTTGGTTCATGGATTGTCATGAACCATGACCTGGACTATATTTTTGTGCTCCATGCCCATCCCTAATGACCATCTTTGGATTTATATTGCCCCTAGTTACTCATCATTCTGCTTCACCTTGTATATCTTTTAAACAATCAGCCTACCAATAGGAAGCCAGACCTACAACTCTTGGTCCAATGCAATCACAGATCCTAGTTCTGCAGTACATTTAGCCAATAGCAAGAAACATTTGTTGGATCCCAGGTAAATCTAGGATCATAAAAGTGGTATTTCAGGCTCTCCATTTGTGGAGCTGATTCTGCTCCTGAGCCTTCTTCCTACCCACCATCTTTCAGAAACATAAACCTGAAAGTACTGGACCTTTTTTTCTCCAGGATAAAATCATATGTTTTTATCTTCCTCCCCTTACTGCTTCCCACCCCCTAAATTTCAGCTTGCCAATTTTTGATTCCAGGTCAGTCTGCTGTACTGCTATATGGTCTTTTCCATAGTTTTTTTTTAAAAAATTGGGTACTAGGTTATAACAATGCAGCTAGAATTTTTCAAACAAGTTTTTTATTGGATTATCATATGCAAATTGCCATCGCATTTTTGCAATAAGGACTGTCAACAAGGCCAAAGGCTTTTACATCTTTAAAGGCCTTGTTGACATGTTAAGTAATGAGATTGATATTTTGCTTTATGAACTATATTTGCTGCTACACACACAATGGACTCTGCACACACACACACATAGGATCAGAAAGCTGTACAAATCACCTGTTGTGATATTACACATAGAAGGTACCTGCATAAGCCTTAAAATGTGAATGAGGTTTCAGCTACACAGCTACCAGCCTGGTGAGGAAGCACACATCTCCATTATTGTCAGCAAAACAACAAATTGAGAAGAAGCAGTCCCCATTGCTGAATTGTTGACAGTCACGTATTGCACAACTCTGCTTTATTTCTACATTGGCATTTCCTGCCAAATGGAACTTTGATTACCAGAGGAATGGCCAAGCTTCATCTACACTTCAATGGAGCATCCTGATGCCAAGGTTTCACACCTGCCCAGATGTCTTCCTTGAGTAAGGTTTTAGATTTCAATATTGACCACTCCTTATAGGCAACCTCCCACTCCTATAGACAACCGATAGGATTAGTTTTGGGACGGACTAACAGGGAAATGGACCAGGAGGTTGGCACTGTCAACACCCATCTCCTGGATCTCCGATAAAAGAAGCAAACCAGTCACATGGTTTCTCTCTCTCTACTTGATCAACTAGCTAGCATCCCCCGCCACAACCCCTGTCTGCTTTATACTCCTCTTTTGTCCAGCTTGCTATACCCAAATCCTTGCCTTTACTTTGATCTCTTGATCTGCAGTCAAGTGACCCACACGTGCTGGCTGGTTCTAGCCATGTGTTACAAATCCCTAGAGTTCTATTTCTTCCCATCCATTCTTCATTGGAATGAACAAGCTTCAGGTGTCAGGTTCCACAGCAAGTAACTCTTCACACATGTTTCTTAAGAAGCGTTATGCTTTATTAGTGTACAAGACTGGTACCATGTCCACAGGATTATTGTTAGGAATAACTAGAAGGCGGGAACATCCCAATACATATAGCTAGGCAAGGCAATTAGCTAAGCAAATGAACTTCTAGCATGCGTGCGGGAAGACTCCCGGCAAAAGATTACATAATGAGCGGGAGAGTTTCATGGTTTCCTGAGAGCAGAAAAATTCACACCAAATGTGGACCCCAAGCCCTCCCTACTTCACAAGGCCAGACTGATAACGGCGCCTAGCTCCCATTGTCTCCCTGGCATGTTTATGGCAAGCTGCTGAGCTGCAAGCAAGGTGGGAATAGGGAAGGGTAGACTACACAGATATGGCAGCTAGCTGACACCAGGACAGATAAGTATCACCCCTCATCACCCCCACCTGCTAATGCAAATGTGCTTATTTTAATACTGTATTTCTAAGGAACTTGATTGAATGTGTGAGCGCATCAGTATTTGTATGTGATTTATATTCTTTAAGTAAAAGACAGTTATTTGAACAGCAACAGCCTCGAACGCCTTCTCTGGTAACCTGTTGGTGGGAACAGGACCTTGTTATAGTTGGCAAGCACCCAGTTTAAAATTTGCCAATGGCTGAAGATAAAGCAATTTGGTGTTTCCAGTCTTTGGCTTGATGATGGCGGTTGCATTCCCCTATCTCTGGGGAGGCGACTTGCTCACCAGTGGTTCAGAGGGGTGCCACCTCAAGTGACACCCCCAGGTGAGCCTTAGGAAAGGCTCTGGGCCAGGGGGCGCTGGGTGGTGACCTCTTCGATGGCGTAATGCTGGAGAATTGAGGCGCTCTCTTGCCCCGAAGGTCCGTCCACTGTGTGGCTCAGTTTTCACTGAGCATAGTTGATGCCAGCCGACAAGCAGAGGAGATCAGCAATACTGCAAAGCTACAAGAGGTCTGAGGGCAGACTGGCAATGAACCAGAGAGCATTTTAAGCAGAAAGTCTTAAAAGTGAGTCCTCCCCCCCCCTAATTGAAAGCGATGTCGGGAGCGAACTCCCGGCTTAAACAAATAAACTGAGCTAATAAGCAAAGGGGTGTGGGGGAGAGGAAGCAATAAAGTGCGTAAGAGACTTAGCTGAGTTTGCGAAGAAGAATCGAGTGTTTCTCCGGAGAAGAGTGAAATGGTTCTTCTAATATAAACAAATTTGAAAATGGTCGCGGCTCAGAAAAAGCTTGCGAAAATAAAACAAGTGAGTCAAAGTTCGAGACCGGAAGAGACGAGTGACATATTTTCCATGTTATCGGAACTGCTCAAGCCAATTAATGAGAGACTCGATGATATTAACCAGCAGTTGGTCACTTCAAACCAAAATCTGGCAATGCAGCAGCAACAGATTGCTGAGTTAACTAAGAAAGCAGTGCAAGCAGATGAGAAAATAAAGGAGACAGCACATGACACCAAGAAAGTTAAAAAGAAGGTGGGAGTGTTGGAACAGAGGCACGATTCCCAGGAAAGAAGGCTTTTGAACTTGTAAATGGAGAAAGCAAATCAGACACTCAGGTTTCAGGGTATTGCCAAATCATCGGGGGAGGACTTGAAGAAACTTATAGTGGAGTTTATTGCACTTGTGGTGGGAGTATCAATGACAGATGCAGAAATGGAAATTTAGGTGGTCTATAGATCATACTCAGTATATAAAGCGAAATAACCTGCTGGGCGAAATTGCTGTCAAGTTCCTCCGAAGACAGATAAGGGATGCAATCCTTAAAGCAGCATCGGCAAATCCCCTGAAGCTGGGAGCAACGGACATCAGGGTTCTAAAGGACACTCCGTTTGAAGGACGCCAGAAAAGGAAATCATATAAAGAATTGATTTCATTCCTACAAATCAACCAAATTCAGTATTCCTGGTGCTTTCCTTAAGGTGTTGTGTTTAAATTTAGAAATAAATGGGAGAAAATTGACTCGGTTTTAAAAGCTGAAGAATGGGTGAAACGGCATCTTGGACAGACAGAAGAGGAGCAGCTGCAACAAGGAGGCGGAGCAGATACAGCAGAGAAGGACTCGGAAGAAGACCTAGGAGCAGTGGGCGGTGTACCAATTAAAGAAACTTACAAATTAAGACTTAGAAAACCAAAGTAACTTTAAGGCTTTAAGAATATTCGCAGACGTGGATGACGTTGGAAGAAGCATTTTACGCACCTGAACTGGCTTGGATTGCTAATATGGACTAACTAACTCTCTAACTCATTGACTTTTGAACGGAATGTTTTTTTTTAAAAAAACTAACTGGAAACTAACAGCTAATGGTCTCCTTTCTTGGGTTTTTAGTTATAGTGTGGGTCTAATTTACTTTTCTTTAATCCCGGGGTACTTTTCCCTCCCAGTTTTCTTTTTCTTTTAGTTTGTAGGGTGTAACAAAAAAAACTAATAAAGCTACCCTGTTTTCAGGGGATTAAAAAAAAAAAGATAAAGCAATTTGGCTAACAGGAAATTAAAGGCACCACTGGGATTACCCTGTGCGCACGACAGTCAGCGAGTTGACACGCTGTCTCTCGGACACACAGACGTAGAGGAATCGTTCCCTCCAGGGACCAGGAAGGGTGTGTGCAAGGTTTCTGTCTGTGTGCCTGGCCTGAGTTGAGCACCCTATCGTGGGTGGGTTTCCATTGTTTTTTTCTGTCTTGATATCCTTGGAGCAGCCCCGCGCCATGCTCTTGGTCTATCATGGATGGAAGCCGAGACGAATAGTGTAGGACAATAGCCCCCAATTTTACCAAGCACTACACACATGCACATACACCCCCACTTTCTTTTTGAGTGCAGCATCGCTCGTAGTCGGCTTTGCAAACAAAGCGAGGCCATGGTAGAAGTACCCACGGCACATAGGTTCCAGGTGCGCCTTGGGTGGGATGCAGTGACCCCCATCCTAAACTTGGGTTCAAGACGATGCCCTGCCAAAGCGGACGCAGATGATCCTTTTGGCCTAAACTCGAGTTTAAGACATTGCCCTGGCAAAAGCGGATGCAGATGATCCCTTTTGGCCTAAACTAAGGTTCAAGACGTGCCTTGGGTGGTAGGCAGTGGCGACCATCCTAAACTCGGGTTCCAGACATTGCCCTGGCAAAGGTGGACGCAGATGATCCCTTTTGGCCTAAACTAAGGTTCAGGATGTGCTAAGATTCGGGTGAGAGAGAGAGGGAGAGTCCCACCCCCCGTTCCTAAACCAAAGATAGGGCTCGTACGTTGGCCCTGGAATGGTGGCTCAAGGAATCCCATTCCCGAAACCTTTTCTCTGGGGACCGAGGTCGCCAAGCACTGCTTGAACCGCCCCAGCGCAGAAAGTAATGAAGCCACAGAACTTACTCACGAGTTGTAGGGAGCCCGCGAGCTCGTTTTCCCCGAGTTTTAGGAGACTTGGGAACCAAGCCTCTAAGATGGAAGCACTTGGGAGTCTTTTCTCCAAATGCGCCTCCGCCCTTGGAACGCTTGCCAGCATCGGTTCATCCAACGGCAGCCATCTACTTGTGTCAACTGACCAAGGGGGAAGAGATAACCCACTCATCCTGCCAGTGGTGGCATTGATATTGTGTCTTCTCTTGGGTTGGATCGCCCACTGACACCAGATGGCTAAACTGATAGCCATGTGCAAGAGACAGACTGACACACCAGTTGCACACTTGGAGGCAGCACATGAGAGAGAGCTCAAAGTAGTATGGGAAGAACACACCCGAGAGTTGGAATCCTTTAAACAGGACCATAAAACTGAAGCTGAGAAATCTCAGGCAGAGTTTTCTTGGCGTCACATGGCAGCAATTGGCCAGCCTGCAGAATCACGGAACATTTGGTGAGTTCTGATGCGCAGTGACGTAGAGCCTCATCAAATGGATTTAAACCACGCCACCCAGAGCCTCTCAGCGCATTTTCTCCTGCTCTCCCACCCTCCCTCCCTTTTGGTTGTGTATTTTCTGTTATTTTGTCACAGCTTGGGTGGTTTGGGGGATTGGGAGGAATCCGTTGGGAGGAGACAGCCTGTGTGTCAGAACCCACAGCCAACAACGTAGTACATGCTTATCAGGAAAGGTAATTCTTTATTGAAGAGCTATAGATGCATTAACATCGGCATTGTTAAGAATGACGGCTGCCCATAGGGCATATAGGATATAGGGTATTCGTATGCACACACCCCTTGCCCTGGCCAATTAGCCACCCTCCCACGTGCAGGAGAAAGAGCTTCGGCTTTTTAGCACTGAAGCAGGGAACGAAACACTCTCCCACTGTTCTCAAGAAAACCAGACGTCAACATTTCCACCTGCAATACTTAGAGATAAGCGGTGTGGCAGCAAAGAAGCACAGAAGGAATGCAAAGGCAATTAGAAGGCAGCCAACCTCCCCACCCCCATGGCAGCAAAGCTGACACTGTGTGCCACTGGTGATCCCCTTAGGGGATTGAGTCATTATGCGGCATGCCCAGCCTGGGGGCTGTTTGCAGGGTCACCACCAGGTGGCAAAGGAAACTACTTAGTGGCAGCTGCCCTCATGGTAACCACAAAAGTTGCCACTCCAAGACTTTTTTCTCAGCAGGTGGGCCCGAGGATTGTTCATTGGGAGGCAGGTGGATCACCCAGTGCTTGGATCTGTCCCCATGTTGCACCAATGCTCCTTGGGCCGTAATCAATAAATTTGTGGCCTTTCCATGCCAAGAAATGGAAATGGAATGGAATTTTCTAATCATGGGTGCTGTTGTGATGACATGGTAGATTGGCAAATTAAATAAAATTTGCATCCAACTAATGAAATCAGGGTGCACTCACAAAAGCAGTTTGCTTTGATATAGAAATATCCAAGTCCAATTCAAAGTAATCCCTAAAATGAAACAACATGAATAAAAATTACTTATGAGAACAAAGTACTTGTGTGCGCAGTTCTTGTCAGTACAGGATATAGGTGTTCCTTGTTTTCTTTTCTTATCTTAATAATGCCATTGACTTGAAAATCATTTCATAGAACGCTTCCTCAGAAGAGAGTACAGGAACCATACCTTCACTTATCCAAAGGATTCAATAAAGTCAACATGATTTCTCATCAAGCACCAAAGCTGAAGGTATTTAAGCTAAAGTTGTGAGAGTAGAAATTATACCACATTATCTGAGCTATACTGAGGATAAGAAGTGGTGCTTAATCTTTGGTAAAAAATTTAACTATCAAGAAAGGGAAAACAAAACAAAATAGAATGGAATGGAATTTTCTAATCATGGGTGGTAATGAATCAAACATGGTAGAATGGCAAATTAAATAAAATTTGCATCCAACTGAATAGTAATTGCCTTTAACGAGGCAAACGACTCCAACAGTTATGAACTATGCATACTTGTTAACAGACTGATCATACTCAGATTGCCCATTTGCTGTTTAATTCTCATGGGCATTCTCTGTGTTTGTTTGTATTGCTTAAATGCAAATCCATGGAGAAAATGGAGCTCAGAAGACTTCAGTGCTTTCTGGGAAATTTTATTTTTCAAAATTATGCAAGAATGGTTAGAAGTTTCAAAGCTGATGAAGACCTTGGAGATAACCTCTCAAGGGAACATTTGGTTATATAGAAGCCACTGTGTCAGAGGACCTTCTCACTCATGGTTCAGCCTGGCTGAGAAGAAATGACAGACGCAATCAATGCAAAAATACTTTGAAAAATGGAGACTGGAAGTGTTTATGTGTTAATTATTCCATGGAGGGAATAATGGACCATTACAAACATTTAATCAAAGTCATATTTTTGGCATATTGTTCCAATGGAATGAATCAACATATATGTGGTAAGTGTCTGTATTTAATTGCTTTGTCTACAAACTCTGAGAGGTTTCATACATCTATATATCTAATATCCAAGGTGCGCCCTGTGTGCGGATATCTAGATCCGCACAGGGGCACCTAGGGGGCAAAGAGATTTTCCTGCTCATTTGAGGCAATCCCCAGATGTACAGAAAAATCTGAAATCTTTAAAAAAAACTATATTGGGGATATGTCAATCCCCCCAAAAGTAAAAGAGCGCTGCCTGCACATACGCAGAGAATGCTCTGAGAATTGCCTTGCTGCTGCCACCACTGGGGGGCAGGGTGGGAAAAGGCTTGGTGGGCCGGCAGCTGTGAGCTGTTCAAGCCTCGCCGCCACTGCTGCTCAGGAGGGAGAAAACTTGGTGGGCCAGCCTTGCTGCCGCAGGGGTGGGGGAAGAAAGCTTGGTGGGCTGGTAGCCGGCAGTTGTTCAGGCCTTGCTGCCGCTTGGGGGGTGGTGGAGGGAGAATGCTTGGTGGGCTGGCAGCTCTGAGCTACTCAGGCCTCGTTGTCGGGGGGAGGGAGATGACTGGGCTCACCTGGGCTCACCTGCTGCTGCTTCTGTAGGCTGGGAGCTGTGGGGAATACTCCCCCCCGCAAGTATCGCGGGTCCCACTTCTTGTTACCACTAATGCCATGAGGGCAAGAGGCTTAGGGGGCAGAAATCCAGTGGCCCAGTGGATAGGCTCAGCAGGATTCCCTCCATAAGCTATCAGTAGCTTTCCATTTGAAGTAGATATTACTATCTAAAGGGAAGGGCATAAGACTATTAAGGCCAGAGATTAAAATGTACTTAAGTCAACATTATGCAGCAGTTGTAAAATGGAAGTGGTGGTGGTGGAAAGTGTCATTGAATTGCAACTGACCTATGGTGACCCCATAGGGTTTTCAAGGCAAGAGATGTTGAAGTGGCTTGCCATTGCATGCCTCTGTGGAGTAACCCTGAACTTCTTCAGTAATTTACCCATCCAAGTAGTAACCAGAGCAGACCTTTCTTAACTTCTGAGATCTGATGAGATCAGGCTAGCCTGGGCCACCCAGGTCAAGGAACCCTAACTCCCCCTAATAAAAAATATTACTGATAATCTAATAAATGTGACCCAGCATAATATAGATCAGACTAGTTCTCAAATGAATTATCATGTCTAGCTGAAGCTAAATAGTCCTCTAATCGCACCATTGTATTCATTTTTTAAAACATGATAATAAGTTTAATATACAGTTTAATCATAATAACCAGACAGCATGTAAGGGTCTCTAGTCTTTCTTTCCAGTTGCAATCCTCATCTCTGCCTTCATTTCTAATTTAATCTGTCACTTTCCTGTTTCATAATAGAAACTCTAGTCCTTATAGTTTGCCACTGCTCTGCTTCTGATCATGTGTGTTTCTCTTTGTATATGAATACTTCCATAACCATACCTGTGTATGAGAGTTTTAAACATCTTGCTGATGAAAAGTAAAACAGCATTCACAATGTAAAGCTGTTTTCATTAGGGTGGCTGTGTTAGTCTGCAGTCGAAGAGCTAGATTGGAGTTCAGTAGCACTTTCATGACCTATAATATTTTCAGGGTATAATCTTTCAAGAGTCTAAGCTCCCATTTAAGTTCATCTGTGGTTAGCAGATGCTCAACTTTCCTGTTTGATCTTATTAATCCATTTAGAAGCAACACTATTTCAGCATAACCATATGTTTTTTAATATGGTTAAAGCAGACTCTGTCAAGTTATGAGTAAGTTTTGTTAGATACTACTTTACTCCAGTTTCATAAATATAAATGTGATTGATTAATTCCTGTAATTCAGCTCTTTGTTTTAACAGGTAAAAAAGGAGAAATGAGGGGGCACAGCCAAGGTAGACAGAATGAAACAAGAGTGTTGGATTTTATCCTCCTTGGCTTCCCTGGATCTTTGTATTTAAAATCGTTCATCTTTGCACTCTTTTTAGTCATGTATATTCTGACAATAATGGGAAATCTAGCCATTGTTATCCTAGTGATAACAAACCGCCGCCTCCACATTCCCATGTATTTCTTCCTTTGCAATCTCTCATTCCTGGAGATATGGTACACCACATCCATTATTCCTAAGACCCTCGCCATCATTCTAGGGAGGAGTAGAAGCATCTCTTTCACTGGCTGCATCCTACAGATGTACTTTGTTTTTGGCTTTGGTTGCACAGAATATCTCCTGCTATCTGCAATGGCTTATGACCGATATTTGGCCATATGTGACCCTCTGCACTACAGTATCATAATGGACCTCAGCCTCTCTGGTAAGCTGGCATTTAGCTCTTGGCTGTGTGGATTCCTTGTGATTTGCATACCAGCTTTTCTCATCACAAGACTGTCCTTCTGTGGGCCCAATGTGATCAACCACTTCTACTGCAACATTGATTCCTGGATAGTTCTCTCTTGTACTGACACATATGTCATGGAGATAGCAGATTTTGTGATAGCCATCATTGTCGTCTTGGGCTCATGCTCGATAACCTTTCTTTCTTACATATACATCATTTCCACCATTTTGCGCATCCCTTCCACCAAAGGACAGCGAAAGGCTTTTTCAACGTGCTCTTCCCATCTTGCCGTTGTCATGATATGGTCTGGTTCCACCATCTTTCTGTATGTCAAGCCTTCTAAACAGACATCTTTAGAGATGACCAAAATTGTGAACATCTTGAATACTATTGTGACTCCCTTGCTGAATCCTTTCATCTACACACTAAGAAACAAAGATGTGAAGGAAGCCTTAAAAAAATTCTTCCAATGGAGATGAATAAAAAAATTATTATGTGTTATGGATTGTTATGCAGTATTAGGCATTTTATAATCTGCGTAAACTATATAGACTTTGGGTGGAAATTTCTTAGTTTAAAATGTCAGTTCCATACACATCTGAGATTTGGTCTTTCTAACCAAGTGCATAAGTAAATGACAGAAATGCCAGATTAAATGTGCTTATATCAGGTTTGTAAACTGATGGCCATTCAGGATGTGACCCTTTAAACTGTATTTAAACCTTGTTGGGACTTCTGTGGGGGAGTACAAATGTTCCATGTGCATTTTTGCTTCTTTCTTTATTCCTCTGCTGTCTACCATTGTATTGCACGTATTTCTCAATGGCTTCTTAAAAAGCTTTCCTCTCTTTGAATTATCTCTTTAATTACTATGATCAGGGCTCAGAGCTTAAATGCTAGAAAAGCGGGCTACTTGTGTCTCCTTATCAAAGAATATCTCTGCAGCAATCCTGATTTCCAGGATACCATATTGGAAGAGTTTTCGAAGTTTCTGGTTTGAAATCATCTTCACAAGAGAGAAAAAGAGGAAATGTGAGCAAACAGACATACACACACTCAATCTCTCTGGTTCTCTATAAATACTTTCAAATAATTATATGGGAAACAGAAGGAAAGGGAGATTATCCAGCTAATGGGGGAGCCCAGGCTCTGAATAACCCCCCCTTTTCTGCTTTATATCAAAACTACAAATAAGGCCCATTGTGGAAATAAATACAACGAGATCTAGAAAGAGGCTCTGAGATAGTGCTCTGGCTTTGGGCAAACAGTGTCAATTTGCTATGGCAACCTCAGCAGGGTATAATAACAGAGTCCACTGTTTTCTCCAGAGGAACTGATCTCTGCTACCGGAATAGCAATTGTAATTTTGAGTGCTCTAGCCCTCACCTGGAGATTGGCAACATTTGTTACCCAGGGTGAAATGGCTGGTTTGGAGGGTGGAGTCTATGGCATTCTACCTGTCTGAGGTCCGACCCCTCTGGAAACCCCACCCTCTCCAGGCTCCACCCCTCAAATACCCAGGAATTTGCCAGCCTGGAGTTGGCAACCCCATATCTTCCCCAGCTAACCATCAACCTACCATTATCTGCCCCTTTGACTTCAGTTGACTTCTACCCTCCCTTCTGCAGAGCAGTTGTAATTCCGAGTGGTCTCCAGCCCTCACCTGGAGATTGGCAACAATGGTTCCCCATGAGGGACTGACTGGTTTGGAGGGTGGAGTCTATTGCATTGTACCTGTCTGAGGTCCCACCCTTCCTCAAACCTCACCCTCTTCAGGCTCCATCCCTCAAATCTCCAGGAAT